CTTGGAGATTTTAATTTTGGACGATCCTAACCGTATATTGAGACTAAGACGTGGGGCTTGCATATTTTTATTTTATCTTGAATTTTCTTCCCCCTTAATTTTATCTTCTCAATTATACGATTTACATATAATACTAGGTCCAATTTAAAATCTTGAGGCACATACTAAAGAAAAACTAAAACAATACTAATAGACATGCATGATCAAGACGTGAGCTAGCATAAGTATATTACGTACCAAAAGATGAAGTGTGCTAGCTAATTACATATACACCAAAAGTAATGTAGCAAAATATTTTACCTTCCTTTCAAAATGGCAATGATGTGTGACCTCAATTTCTTAAAGTCATGCTCGTAGTCCTTGTGTTGATACGGAGCGGTGACTTGTCCGGTCACGTAGTTTCCATAAGCTTCCTGGATATTCTCTCCGCGTAACACTCCAGCTTCGTGCCATGAAATGCACTCCTCAAACGATCTACCGTCGCTCATCTGGTCACTCCAGTGCCCGACAAAGTTCTCCAATTCTTGCACCAATTGCATTCTAGATGCATTATATTTTGTACTTGGTGCGCTTTGTGAAGTAGAACCGCCTTGAGAAGCTGTGAAAAATTCCATGAATTTTCCTCTTCGACCACGACCTCGGCTCAACATAGAGGATCCTCCCCGTGGTGCTCCTCGAGATAATGGTGGTCGAACAAGCTCAACAATGGGCTGTGATGGTCTTACCGAATCCGTACGAGTTGCCAAATGACTAGCGACTCCTTCTCCCTTTTTGGCAGCATCAAGAAATCGTTGAAAGCTTACAAAGGCACTAACTTGATTATTCCGGACTCCAGTTAAAAGGTCATTATTTACACCGGTTTGTTGAAGAAGGGCCTTCATTTGTTGCTCTATTAAGCGCAATCTTGAGTCTCTTTCTGTGCCTTGTTTTCCAAACTCAAGAAACATCTTCAAGATTTCACAACCTTGGGCATCTTGCTTATCATTCAACCCTTTTGCAACAAGATTAATTTCACTCTTCATAGATCCTTGCCCTTGAAGCAACAACCCGTCACACTCATACATGCTTTGTGATAAGCATCAAGCTTTTGATCCATGCTACCTTTCAAGCCTTGAATCTCCGAGCGTACGTCCCCTGAAATTTCTTCTCTCAATGTTCGAGCATCAAATGGATATTTCTTCTCTCAATGTTCAGGCATCAAATGGATGGTGATGCACCGCGGGTTGTGCCGTAGGTAGAGGACTTGGCTGTGTTGCATGCAATGGCTCCAACAAATCATCATGAGGTGTGGCAACAATTGGTAGGAGATCGGCAGTGGTGTGGCATACTGGATCGGTGTAGCAAAGAAATAGAGGTGTTTGTGGATCGGCATGCACGGCTTCCTCTTGAACATTCACATTTTTATCCCTTTTGTCTACCTCCACTAAATCACCTCTATCAAACAATGAATTTGTACCACTCAAATGTAAGGTGACTTACTAGTCATGCTAACTCCTCCATGTGTTGATTCCGTAAGCTCCATTGCCGTATGAGGGTATAGGGCATCAAAGCTTAAATTATCTTCTCCAACAGTTGAAGGGAATGCATCTAAATCATCTAAGCAATCAACATTGACATCCCTCAAGTTTGTTCCTTCTCCCGGAGGCCTTTGAATTTCCATTCTTGAATTGTGTAAAGCTTGATTAATATCGGCTCTAGCAAACCCATTTACCGTATCAACCGATACAGTATCTTCTTGCACATTTTTCTCCTTTCTTCGGCTCATAGCTACGTTGCTTAAGAAACATTTATTAATCTCCGAAAATCTCGTAGCTTTGGAAATATCACAGGTGCCAAGCCAACTAAGTGCAAACTCCTCCTCAACAAGTGAATTCGACCCTATTGTTGTGGCCAATGATTCATGATCACTTAGTCTCCATTTTCTCAAATCTTTTACTCGGCAAAGCTCTTCCAACAACACACTATCAACACCAAATGTTGGAACATCCTCCACACTCCCTACGTCATCCCCAACAACCGGCACGGGTGGGTTGGAATCCATGGAATTTAGGATCGGCACGGGTAGTGTGATCAAGGGGTGACTACATGCTTCGTCACTCGTTCTCCCAAGGGTGTTGGAACCTTCATTACTAGGTTCTCTAATGATGGATCTCTTGGCTAAGGTGGGTTTGGGGGGTTTGAGGCCTTTCTCTTTCGGGTGATTTTCTTGGCGGGTTCGATTGTGGTAGGATTTTTGGCTTTGGTTTCGGATGGTCTAAAGAGGTAGTTTTGGTTTTGAAGTGACTTGGGTTTAGAGAGGTTTACACCTTTGGACTTCAACAATTCTCCAACAACAAGTACATAGCCAATATCATGAGGAGACCAATCATCAACTAAGGGCTTTGCACTCACAACCTGTTCAACCAATCTTCCAAACAAAAAACTCCCCAATTCACGCAATTATTATTCACAATAATATGCATCAAATTCAACTTATCCTTTGTGAAATAATTTCTGCTAGCATATTTTGACTCAACAATTTTATGAACTATGTCTAGCAACATCCCATATTCATGCTTCAACAACACCTTTTTCCCATGAGCTTTTGGAATTACCGGCGCATCGACACGGCGTATTTCATTCCAAAAGACATTCGAACCATACCCATGATTTTCAACTCTCAAAACTGTCTCCACCAGATTAAATTTATTCCGAAAATCATCTACACCAATCAACACTTCTACTCCTCCCACATTTGATTTGATAGAATTGTTCTCAACAATAGCATTTTTATAAAATTCTATCACTTCATTCTTATAAAAACAATCATATTTGAATGTGCAAAAATTCAATAAACCACAAGACTCAAGTGAGTTGATGATTTTTACCCCTAACTCCTTTGTTTGAACATGGTTGTCGAAATCCCCGGTGTCTAGGATCATCCCACTTAGCAATCGGGTAGACTTCTTTGATCCTTCCGTGGTAGTTTCGGCCTCGGCTTGAGTTGGGTCTTCCTCCATTGAGATGAATTTGTGAGATTGTTGGAGTGAATTTGCATGCAAGAAGAATTTTTTGGAGTGGATTTTACGGTGGTGAATTCGGCAGTTCAAAAAGGGGTGGGGAATGGGTTTTTATTTATAGGTGTTTTTTAGGGTAATGGTGAGGGTGGGTTATGGGTATTTGTGTGTAGAATGGATTTGTGTGGAAAATTTGGGATGTGTAAGATTTTAGAAGATGATTCTAGGAATTTTCTCTTGGAGTGGTTTAGGCCGGCAGTGAGAGATAGGGAAGAAGGTGTAATAGGCTCAAAGGACTTCAATTATAGCGCAATATGCCTCCTAAATAACACACAAAATGTAGCATCTTTGGCACTTATCACAAAGTATAGAAAGCACTTCACGTGACAACCTATTCCTAAGAGTCAATTCATCAAACACCTTGTCTTCACCTCATTTCGTACTTTGTCCTCTCGGAACTTAAGGCGGGAAAAACAAGTGGAATGGAGGCTACAATCAATCTAGCAATCTCTTGCCTAGATCAATTGATCCTAGAATATCAAGAGAGTTGTGCCCTAACTCACAAGATTCATTCAAAGCAACCACTTCTAACAAGAAATCAATCAACAATTGCAATTCACAATCTAATTAAGCATTCAATTCTACACTGGCATCATGCAATCGATTCACAATTCAATCCCTAAAGAAAAACTAACCACTCATTGTAGCTATATGGATCATCATTGAATCAATATCAAACAATGAAATTGAAATTAGAAAGCAAGCGGATTACCAAAGGAAGCAGTCGTTTGGTGAGATCGGAGGAGAAGGTGGTTCTAGCACTCAGGCCTCAGCCATGAATGGAATAGTGAGAGCATTCAATGAAGAGTTAATAGTAATGATTAGATCAGCCGTTGTAGAAGGTGGTTCGGCGCAGAGGAAACGGGAAATAGGCGGAGTACTCTCCATGATTAAGGCATTTATAGCCTCATTTATGATTTATGATATTTATGATGAGATAAACATTTTACTCTTCTTGTACATGTATAAAAGGTCTTAAAAGACTCAGAAAAATGAGTTGAATAGTATAAATATACACGAGAGTTTATAGAGTAATTTTCAAGCAAAACAATTATCTTTTCTGTAGTGTTGACCAACTGACTGACCGCTCCAGTGGTCATAAAACCAACACATCCTATGTTGGGTCTAATTTACAGGAATGTGTGTCTCTTGGTTCAAACTTTAGGCGATGGTAGTTTGGAATGTAAAATGGTCAGGGAACAAGTTAACCCATGATCTTGTTATGGCAACTTGCTCTCCGTTTGAAAGTAAGGTTTAGGAGTTCGTGTATTCTTGAATTCATGAAATAAATCACTTGATTGTTTTTGCTCTAAAAAAAAAAAAAGAAAAAAAAAACTGCTAAAAGTTAACCCCAAAAATTATTTATGAAAAAGGCGTAAATCTAAAACATGGTAGTATCGAAAATCACCACCAAAAAAATACTGAATTTACCATAGCAAAGAAATTGTTGGGACGTTTCAAACGAGACCAGAAAGGATGATAATTTTTAAGGGGAGATTTTGAGAATTCCACCCAGAAGCCCAGAAAAGATGACAGTTTTTATGGCGTATTTGCCGAATGCACATTTGCTACAAAACATCCTTGACTGCAGGAATATATATATATATATAGGTCGACAATGACACTCAGCATTATCTCTTGAAAACATCAAGATGTGCTTTTAACATACTACGCAGGCCACTATATATAACTTCGTGTATATTTCTATTTTTTCCCTTTATGTTAACATGACAATTTTTTATTTTTTTTTTAAACAAAAACATGACAAGTTTTAATAAATAAAAACAATAAAAGCAGGACGCATGTCAAAACTTTTATTCCTTGAAAATATACTTACCATTTTCCATACATGATACAACTCCTTGAAGAGAGCAAAGGGTATTATTAGTAATCTTCGAAAAGCATATATCCCCCAACACCCCCCCCCCCCCCCCCCCCTTGAGATTGAAAACTATGAAAATAAAACGCTCATTGCCGGCTTGTTTATGTCTACCCAAAATATTATAAAGAGACAACACAAGTACACACTACTATGCCATTGAAATCTACACAATCATAAAATGGCCAAGAGCAATATTCTCTTGCCCCTGCTGCATATCATTCCTCTTTTGCTAAATTTCCAACAACTTTGCCGTGAGTAATTGAAGGAAATTTCCAGGTTAAAATATTACTGCAAATTAGATTGTCATGGAGTATATGCTTATCTTTTCTTTGTGCTTTCAGATGGGAAGGTTTTCATGGAGTATATAGGTGCTACTGGCAAACCTGTAACATTTGATCAGGTCCCAATAGAGCAGGGCATTGACTTCCACTTTGTCCTGAGCTTTGCCATCGACGCAGACCCATCTGCAAATCCTGCAAATGGCACGTTTTCGCCATACTGGGCTTCAACCTTAACCCCGGACTCAGTTGCAGCCATCAAGGCAGAGTACCCTAATGTCAAAGCCTTAGCTAGCCTTTCCGGGTGGAGCCTCCACGAGAAGAAGCTTAACTGGTACAAGCCAGCAGACCCGCAGCTCTGGATAACAAATGCATTCACTTCACTCCAAGAGATCATTAACACATATCATCTGGATGGCATTGACATAGACTATGAGAGGTTTCCTAGGCACAATGAGAGCTTCGCCTACTGTATAGGCGAGCTGATCGCTCTCCTAAAGAACCAAAGCGTTATTTCAGTGGCAACAATAGCGCCATACTACAGCACAGTCATACCCTATATTCAGCTATATGAAAACTATGGAGATCTCATAGACTATGTCAACCACCAGTTCTATACAGATAAAGTTAGGACACCAGAGGGGTACCTTGAAGCCTTCAAATTGAGGACTGCACAATTTGGCAAGGAGAAAGTGTTGCCCAGCTATGAAGTCAACGGAAGAGGGATCCAAGGGGATGCATTCTTTCAAGCTCTGCAACTCCTGGAAAAGAATGGGTTTGATATCAAGGGAGCCATGATATTCTCAGCTGACGCTTCTGCTGATAACAATTACTACTATGAGAGGAAAATACAAGCCTTCTTGCTCAATTCTACGCATGTGTGAGGTTTTATTGTTTATACTCTACAACTATCAAAGTAGTGAAAATTCAGTGGCAAGACTGCCTCACTGGCTCAGCATTCTACCTGTTGGTTTATCTTTTGATTTCCTTCAGGATCGAAAGCTAGTGAGGAAGGCATGCCACAAATTTTATCAAATTTGAGATGTTGGTGTTGGTACAAAAATAAGATACACCTTCCTTTTCTCACTCCATGAGAGCATTTTGTTCTGCTTCCCTTGTGAGAAATGGTGAAAAATAAACAAATATTTGCAAACAGAAAATATCAGAACATTAATTACAGCCAATTGTACAAACAGGTTTGAAGGACAACCAAACCAAGTACACTCTACAGAAATTTTCAGATTATAAGCAAAACCACTAATACAGAGTAGATATCAAGTAGAACAGGCACCATAAGTAGGTGTTATCTAAACCAGAAAAAAACTACATGACCCAGGAGTAAAGAGCCTGTCCTGAAGAACATGGCTATGTTGAAGATGAAAGCACTTCAATCTACCCCCTTGACATTCTTAGGAAGAGGTTAACTCAGAAATACTATTTCCAAGGGGGGCATTTGGTATCAGAAATCTTCTACTAAAAGCAAACAAGACCAGGATTTAGCTCAATTAGAAAGCAACACTTCTTACTGATTATCACAGAGCAAAAAAAAAATTTCAAGAAACATAGTATGTGAAACTGAATTTACTATAGTGCATTAGCATCAAAATTTTAGAACTCGCTGCTAGGAGCGTTGCTTGATTTATCAGTAGTTCCATTGATGCTAGTTTTGCTGATAATCCCCTTTCCAAAATATTTTGCAATCACTGAAAATCCATCTTTTGAACTTTTAACCTGCTGGAAGAATTGGTCTTGGCTTTTGGAACTTTGCTCTAAGCTTCTCTTTGTCTCAAGAATGGCTCTGTACTCAGGAGCACACTCAGGGCATTCCTTCTCATTGTCACCAAGGCAACGCTGATGGAATGAGTGCATACACATGAAGTGGACGGCAGGAAGGTCAAGGGTGAATGTGCAAGCAGTGCATTTGCTAAGCTGAAAGATTCTGGCATTGGTCCTAAGATCTTGGATTTCTTTTCTCATTGTAGATGTCTCTTCCTGCAAAATTGGAATGTAGTTCATAGCACTCCATTATTTAATTAATTTTATAAAGCTGTGTGAGAGAAGTTCAGAACACTCACACTATTCAACTCCATTATAATTCTCTCAAAAAAAAAAAAAAAATTTCAACTCCATTATAATTAACTCTATGGAAGCAGCTAAAATGCTGAATATAGAATATAAAAGAGAATAGGAAAATCTCATACAAGCTATTGGTTCAACATATGTAAGAAGCGTTGAGTTTATTGCTTGTGTCTCTTACTCTCTTAGTATTCTGCTTGTGTTTTAACGTGTGTCCTTTGATATTACCTAAGACTCTAAGAGTGTATTCATACTCTAGGTTAGCCTATGACTATATATGTGTAGTCCTGTGTAATCTTTAAGCAAGTTCAAGCTATGACTTAATCAAAATCTTTCCCAGTTTATTCAACAAGAAGAAATCCATTATCAGCTTCTAAACATGTATTTAATGAATCCGCAAGTAGCAAATTGCTGGCTATGAAATCCATTTATTGAGATCTAAGGACATTTATAGGAAGAAAGTAAAAAACTAGTCTTCAAATTTCCCTTTTCTAGCCAGAGGTGATCTTTGAATCTTGCAATTTGGGATTGTAATGGGTTATGGTGGGTTGGGGTATACTACATCCACCAACTCTTCCAAACCAATCATCCACCTTCACCACCACCCCACTGAGCAGGGAAATTTTAAAACCCACACTTGACCCAGTATGGGGTGGTTACCCAACCTTAGTAGTTAGTAGTTAAATACTTAAATACAAATATTCTCAATATTCTCCTCGAAATTATCATAATAAATAAATTTTGGAGTTAAAATTCAACATGTATAATTACAAGATTAATATAACTTAATAAATTCTAAAAAAAAAATATCTATACACCTAATTCTAAAATATATATTGTTGGAATATTAAAAGTCTTGGGCAGCTCACTAGCCTTAGTAATTAAATGGGCAGCTCACAAGCCTTAGTAATTAAAGCCTTGGGGAGATGAGTAGTTTCTTTATTTATTATTGTTTACTCTTGTAGACCTATATATAGACTTGTAACTTGAAGTTAGATGAAATACAAGAACCCTTTCTAGCTTTTAACATGGTATCAAAGCCTCCTTTTTGGGGCCTGAAATTTCTCTCAAACACCTACACCCGATGAACAGTCTCCCTTTTCCGACAAAATTTTCCAAATCAGTTCGTCCCTTGTCTGCGATTATATGGTGATTTTCTCATATTTTTCTGAAAGCTATGGCAAAACATGAAGGTTTAAACAGCATGCTGAAAGTTGCCAGGACCAACTTGTCTCATACTGCTCTTGCATTAAAATCTGATTCATCTTGGATTCTTGATTCTGGAGCCACTGATCACATTTCTGGTAATCTCTCATTTTTCTCTAATATTGAGTTCTCAGATTCTCTTCCCGATGTCACATTTGGTGATGGATCAAAAGGAAAAGCTATAGGAATTGGAAAAGTCACCATTCATTCTTTGTCTTTATCCAATTTCCTTTACATTCCTGGTTGTCATTTCAATTTGATTTCAGTTAATCAACTTACTCACTCACTTAATTGCCTTGTCACCTTTTCTTCTGATTCGGTGGTTATTCAGAACCGTCAAACAAAAGGGACAATTGGTGTAGGATATGAATCACGAGGTCTATACCATCTTTCATGTTCCGCCAATACCAAAACAGCTTGCTCGGCTTCTATTTCACCCCTTCTTAACCATTGTCGTTTAGGACATCCTGACCTCAATAAATTAAAACAACTGGTTCCTGGATTGTCGAATTTAAAAACCATAGAGTGTGAATCATGTCAGCTTGGGAAGCACTCAAGAGCTTCATATCCTAGTAGAGTGAATAAGAGGGCCAATACCCCATTTTCTTTAGTTCACTCTGATGTTTGGGGACCGTGTCGAGTTTCATCCACTTTGGGTTTCTCATATTTTGTTGTCTTCATTGATGATTTCTCTCGATGCACTTGGGTTTTTCTAATGAAGAACCGTTTTGAATTATTTGATGTGTTTCAAAAATTCTACAATGAAATTGTGAATCAATTTGGGGCATCTCTCAAAATCTTACGCAGTGATAATGCAAGAGAATATTTTTCTGACCCTTTCACTTCTTTTTTTTCCTCAAATGGAATACTTCATGAATCATCATGTGCTAGAACTCCTCAACAGAATGGAGTTGCTGAACGAAAAATTCGTCATCTTGTTGAAACAGCTCGTACTTTGCTTATTCATAACAAGGTACCTAAGAATTTTTGGGGGCATGCTATACTTCACTCTTGCTATCTCATAAATCGGATGCCTTCCTCTGTTTTGCAAGGAAAAATTCCTCTTCATATCTTACGTCCACAGGAACCTCTCCATAAGCTTCCATTGCGAATCTTTGGATGTACTTGCTTTGTTCATAATACTTCTCCAGGGCGTGATAAACTTGATGCCAAGGCAATAAAATGTGTTTTCCTTGGGTATTCTCGCCTCCAAAAAGGCTTTAAGTGTTATTGCCCTAGAACACACCGGTTTTATACCTCTTCCGATGTTACCTTTTTTGAAACAACACCTTTTTTCTCTTCCACCTCCGTTGAGTCTAATTTCCTAGGGGAACCCATTGAAATCACAGAAATTCTCCCTGTTCCTACTTTCTCAGAACCTATATCTCCCACTGTTCCTGAAAGGACCATACCTATTCCAACTCCAACCATTCAAGAGGAAGGACATATTCCACCGTTGTTGTACACCTACCAACGACGCAATCGTCAAGATTCCCAAGAGGATAGACATCCAGTTGAGTCATGTTCTACATCATTGTTACCCAATGATGCTGCCCAAAACACCACGATAGACTCTCCCATTGCCAGTCGGGTAGATAAAAGATCCACTCGAAATCCTTACCCTATCTATAATTTCCTTTCATAAAAACGTCTGTCTCCATCATATTGTGCCTTCATTGCTAGTTTGTCAACTGCTTTTGTTCCAAACAATGTCAAGGAGGCATTAACTAATCCAGGGTGGACTCAGGCAATGGTTGATGAAATGAAAGCACTACATTCTTCCGGGACTTGGGAGTTAGTACCTTTACCTCCTGGTAAAACTGTGGTTGGTTGTAGATGGGTGTATAATGTGAAGGTTGGTCCAGATGGACAAGTTGATAGACTCAAAGCTCGACTTGTGGCTAAAGGATACACACAGGTTTTTGGCATTGACTACACGGATACCTTCTCACCGGTGGCCAAGATCACTTCTATCCGCCTCTTACTCTCAATGGCAGCCAACCATCACTGGCCACTATATCAGTTGGATATAAAGAATGCCTTCTTACATGGAGATCTGAATGAGGAAGTGTATATGGAGCAGCCACCTGGATTTGTGGCTAAAACAGGAGCTAATCTTGTTTGTCGTCTTAAGCGCTCTCTCTATGGGTTGAAGCAATCTCCACGTGCCTGGTTTGGGAGATTTAGAGATGTGATCCAACAATTTGGCATGATTCAAAACAAGGCTGACCATTCTGTTTTCTATAAACATCTACTTGGAAAAAGTATATATCTTGTGGTTTATGTTGATGATATTGTCATTACAGGGAATGATAGTGAAGGAATAAATCAGCTTAAGAAACATTTGTTTCAACATTTCGAGACAAAGGATCTTGGAAAATTGAAGTATTTTCTTGGTATTGAAGTTGCTCAATCCAAACAAGGTATCTATGTGTCTCAACGAAAATATGTTTTGGATATTCTTGAAGAAACAGGAATGACAAATTGCAAACCAGTTGACACACCCATGGATCCAAATGTCAAACTTCTTCCAAGACAGGGGGAGCTCCTATCCAATCCAAGTAAGTATCGGAGATTAGTTGGCAAGCTATTGTACTTGACTATCACTCGACCAGACATCTCCTTTGCTGTAAGTGTAGTTAGCCAATTTTTGCAAGAGCCATGTCAAAGTCATTGGGATGCAGCCGTCAGAATATTGAGATATGTGAAAAGGTCTCCAGGTACAGGGTTGCTCTATAAAGATCATGGACATACAGAAATTGTTGGCTATACAGATGCAGATTGGGCTGGATGTCCTTGGGATAGGAGATCAACATCAGGATATTGTATTATATTTGAAGGTAATCTTGTCTCTTGGAAAAGTAAGAAACAAGATGTGGTTGCACGCTCAAGCGCAGAAGCTGAATACCGAGCAATGGCACTTGGAATATGTGAGCTAATTTGGGTTAAACAACTTCTTACAGAACTCAATT